CCCAAATGTGCACGCAAAGAAAGGCAGCAGCAAAGGAGGGGGCTTTGTTGAAAACAACGTGTTTGAGAGAGGCGGGGCATAGAGGCAGGGGCAGACTTTCCCATTAGGCAAAGGTAGGCGACCGCCTTGGGCCCCCAAAAGCCAAGGGCCCCCTAAAATGCTTTTCATATAGGATATGCGCATTAAGCGCGGACACGCGAACGTTTGCTGTTTACGGTGTTTGTTACCACGACAACCGTCCGAGTCTGTGGCTCCTGCAGGTGTACGGCTGTATGTACTGTGAGTACCATGAGCTTATTATAGGCCTGTGTGTCCAGTATTTCTGTCGACTGAACCCATGCCGTTAATTATGAATGTATCAGTATTTTGCATGCCAAAGTCAATTTCTGCATAGAAATATTAGCCTACGCCAAATAGAAGCAGAAAATCGTGCTATAAGCACTTTCATGAGATCGGGTTAGCCTACAACAATTAATTTGTTGGCTATTTTACAAATGAGAATACAACGAATTCATGACAATGTTTACATTCAAGCTACCCGTAAAATTTATAGTGAAAAGTTCTTTAAAAGAGTCTGGAATGCAATAAAGTAATTTTAAAGCTGTTTTTTAAAGCATTTGCTACATGGATAAAAAATATAAATAATTAACATATCATACAAAATTGCGTTGCAGCAAATCCTTTAAATTTAAGCTATTCAGAACAGAGCAACATAAAAAGCAGCTATACAATTATAGGACAAAGTTTTACGTATATGCCATTATAATTAGTGTTTTATTTTTTAACTGTACGGAATTATAAAATAAAACGCAAACTATAATCGGGCCTTCCATCAATGATAGTGATGAAAAAATGACTTGCCATCTCCTAATTGGATGTGCCTTTAGAGAGAAATGCACGGATTACATAATGAAAGAGTTAATTTTATTAGGAGTCTATTTTCTTTTTTGTTTTAAAGTAGTAATTTAAAGCTTTCTATATATTTTTCTCATGTCTGAGTTTAGGTTCATCATTGTGAAGCGCTCCTGTTCAAGCCCGAGACGGCAGAAAGCGTTTCTTTTCTTTATTTTATAAAAGCACAACGTTTTGTTGATATTGTGAGTGCGCACAAATAAAACTACACCCTTTACAGTTTAGAATGATGTATTACTCTTACCTTTATGAGCAAAAATTACGGCGTATTTTAAGTTGTTTCCACTGTTAGAAAAAATGCAAGTGATCCCGCTGGCGCCTCCGTGTCCTGCAGAGCGCGCTTCAGCTTCCACTCTCCACACAAACTATTGGCCTAACAGCGCACATTTATATAGGTTAAACATTTAAACTAACATTGTGATATACTTGAACTATTTTATATATAGATTTTATTTTAGGCAAGTCCTTATGATTTGAGAAGGCTAAATTGATCAAACGGGCTATGATCAACTTACTAGGTGCGTTTCCATTACAGATTTGCGGAAAACTTTGGTGATATTTTCAGAATGTCGATAAAAAAGTATTGCGAAATGACGCCGTTTCCATTAA